AAGACTTCCCCCCCCAAAATGAATCACTTCACTGCGTTTAAATGCCTTAAATCTTGCTTATTTATCTCTTTAAACATTGACAATCCTTTAATTCCGCAGCCATTCATTACCCTTCTCGTCGGAGCGTTTTCTCCAATAATTCTACTAACCATGCACAGTTGCACATACATACATACTCTGCCGTCATTGAATGAAATAATTGCAAATACCCTTTAACTAAAGTTGCCGTCGCGTCACTAACAACTTGCTCTTCGCCTCTCATCCCGCCATCGCTCACCGTTTCCTTCCAGTTGGGCCACTTGCCGTTATACGCTTTCGCTTCACTCGTTGCGCATCAACATATTTCTTTCCTCTTTCTAGACGGTTGCGCTTTCACTCGGGCAAATTCAGTAAATTTCTGTGCGTTTCCACAAGCGCATAGCTGCTGCGCCCCCACCCGCACTCGGCCGTTCGGCTGCTGCGCTGCAAGATTTCAATATTTTTCGCAATTTATTGTAGATTCTTGTTGCTGTTATTTTTGTTTCTACACACTTGCTTTTTACGCCTTTAGCTTTTACTTGCTCTCCCGCTGTGTTGTTGTTTTTATTTCTTTTTGTTTTTGTTTTTCCTTTTTACAATTTGCGTCGAAGTTGTTATCACGCATTAAAGAGCTGTGACAGCTACAGCAACAATTATCAGGCATCAACAGCAGTAAAACATCAGCGACCACTTTGTTGTTGTCCCTGATATACTCAAATATGGCCCCTAGGTAAAACTGTGTGAAGTTGTGAAGCATTATGTGTTGTTATAACATCTTGCATTGGCTGCAATGGTCTTCAGTGCTCGAAAATAATAAATAAGTAACGGTAAAATTTATTCGACAATACTTTGTTTTGGCAATAAATATAGTGGGGTGCTTGTGAGTCTTTCAGTTATTCCTTAAAATACTCCCCCGAAAAATCTATGTTGGAATATAATTTCAGAAAGCAATCACACCTTGTTGGACGGCGTCATGTTACGGTTAAGAAGATACTTTAAACTTATGAGGATATGAAATTTGTCAGACAACTTCGAGAATTATACATAAACTTATTAAAGAAGCTATATAGATAAATTTTAACTTACATAGAGAAATAATCACCGTGTTCGGGTTTCTAAGAAGCGTTGAACGTATTGAGAGAGCCTGTTAAACTCATAGAAGCTCACATATGGGTATTCTAATTGGTTTAACGGTATTATCGAATAAGAATTTTCAAAAATGTAAACAAAATACTTTCAATTTGGAGAACAATGGTGGTACCATAACCTATTTTTTTAGACCGAATTCGCGGCGACAATAAATTGTTATGCAAAGCACTTTTTCATGACTATCTGGCTGATGCATAAGGTTGTGGGCTTTGGAAGAAAAAGAAGTTGGCATTGCTTATTCTCGCAAAGCTAGGCCTCTCTTTTTATAAATATTATTTTTGGTGTTTTGGAGAGAGCTTGGATGCCAATCCACACAAGTTCTGCATCGTTTCTTTACATGAGAATAGTTCAATTAATACCGTTAAACCCCGTGACTTCACTGATATCGGACAACTTGATCTTTTCCAACAGGGCGTTACCAAGCGTTTCTCAGTTGCGTTGCAAGCGAGTGCCATGTCATTGCCACTGGCATTCGATGGGTGAAATGTAACAATTACAACAACAATAAATTGCAGTTCAACCATCTTTTGTTAGTCTTTTTGTTGTGTTTTGTTCACTATTTATTGCTGTGCTCATTTTTTGCCACTAACTGTTGTTGGCTGCCGCTGCCACTGTTGCTGCTCTTGTTGTTGCTTTTATAGCTGGCGCTGTTCGCAACAGCTTTGCCTCGAACTTATGCTTTCATGCGTATATTTATGCACGCGGCATTGTTGATGTTCGTACTTTGCTGGTCGGCAATGTGCCTTACGATGTGTTTGTTATTGTTGTATACTTCATTTTTGCTTTTGTTGTCGATGATTTTAATAAATGTATTTAATGCGCTTGTTAAAGATAGCAAATTGTGGGTGATAGTAAGCGATGCGGCAATTCGGACGCGGAAGTGTGTGGCGAGTGCAGTCAAATGCAACTCTGTGTGTGCTTTTTACAACTCCTTTTTAAATTTATGCTTTGATTACATAAATTATGGTGCAGTTATACAGCTGTGTGCTTTTGTTGCTGTTGTTGATGTAGAAAAGTGTAAACAATATTTTCCGCTAACCAACAACTACAACAATAAAAAGATTATGTGTCGCTTTTGCCTTACGAATAAGATAATTTCTTTAAAATTAATATTCATCGTTAGAAGAAGGCTAGCAGAACCAGATGTAAATGAGTGTGAAATATAAAATAATAAAAAAATAAAATAATCAAAAATAAAATAAAATAGAATAAAATAAAATAAAATAAAATAAATATATATAAAAACAAAATAAAATAGAATAAAATAAAATAAAATAAATATATATAAAAACAAAATAAAATAGAATAAAATAAAATAAATTAATATAAAAAAATAAAATAAAATAGAATAAAAGAAAATAAAATAAATTAATATAAAAAAATAAAATAAAATAGAATAAAAGAAAATAAAATAAAATAAAATAAAATAAATAAATATAAAATAAAATAAAAGAACAGGGTAAGTAACAAAAAAAATTTAGAACAAATATTAAAAAATAGAAAGCTGAACTTCAAACTACGCTTCGAAGATTTCTTAATTTTGACAATTTTTTACGTCTACAAAATGTTTTGAGTTAATACAACATGACAGCGATTGATCTGGGGCTCTGAATACTGAAGACAGAGTTGATGAAGTTATGGGAACACAAAAATATTACAGGGAGTCGTAACTGAGACATAAGGGTCCTGAGCGACAGCTATTGTTTGTGTTTTTTGCTTATACTATTTGATGTGACGACTATTATATTTTGGTTTTGGAAAAATATCAGGAGGAAGGACGTCGTATTTTCACACGTTCGGTTCGGTTCAACCCATTCTGAGAATTTTTTCTCGCAGACTCTGAAAGCTGCGTTCCGATAAAATCGCTTTATCTCTGAAAATGTTGACCGGACCAACTTTAACTTGTCGGAGAATATTCTCAAATTTATGTATATTTGTTATATATGCAAAACACAAACTCGATTTTCTGATTTCCACAAGTGGTTATAACCCCCTAAGATAGATTTGGAAATTTTATAAAAAAATGAGAAGAATAAGATGATTTTCGATTTGTTTAATTTTCCAAACTAGATAAAACGTTAACTACGGTTGCACGGTTACCCTTCATTAATACACAAAAGATTCCTTACAAGAACTTGAACCCGATCGTTCAGTTTGCATGACAGCTATATGCTATATGGATCCAATCTGAACAATTTCATCGGAGCTAACATAATTGCCATAGACAATAACCCATGCCCAATTTGGTGAAGATATTACGTCAAATGGGAAAATTTTCCATGCAAGCAATTAATTCCAATCGTTCAGTTTGTATGGCAGCTATATGCAATAGTGGTCAGATATCGGCGATTCAGACAAATGTGCTGCTTCTTGGGGAGAAAAGGACGTGTGCAAAATTTCTGATTGATATCTCCAAAACTGAGGGATTAGTTCGCGTTTATACAGACAAACGGACAGACAGACGGACATGGTTAAATCGACTCCGCTCGTCATGCTAACTATTTATATATACATATATTTTATAGGATCTTCGATGATACCTTTAGATGTTACAAACTGCGTGGCAAACCCTGTTCAGGGTGCAAATATTTTAAAAGTGTAATATTGCAAGGCCGGATAGAACTCCTTAAAAATCGGTAACTTCTTCTATTCCTCTTTAAAGCAGTATAATACTCTCCGCGCAACATGTTTAAAGAGCAAAAAATGATAGTAATACCAGCAAATACATCATTTATTGCGCTTTTAAAATCAAAAATCATGCAAAACAAACAAAAGTCACTCATACGCCCAGGTGGCTGCGCACGCTGGTAAACAAAAAGTGCAGCAAGCAAATTAACGAGCAATCAACGTTAAATTAAATCAATAAAATGTTGTAATACCATTTAAATTATTCATAGCGCCATGACATTCTGCTCCAACGGGAAATTTATTCATGCAACTTTTTGTGGCATAAACAGCAGCAGCCGGGGCGCACACACACACACACACACAGTCCTACGTAATTGCGGAGGGGCGGTAACTAATTCAATTCATAATGTCGTGCAACACGTGTTATTTGTTGACTGTGTGGCTGTGTGACAATGCATGTTGTTGTTGTTGCTGTTGTGCATGTGTTATTGTTTAAAGTACGGTGTTTGGCGTTTGTCGCTGTGTGTTGGTGTTGTATGAAAATTAATTAATGTGCTCGGCACGCCTGCAAATCTCAACTAATGTTCCCAAAACAGCAGAAACAACAATAACAGCAACAGCAACAACAGTAACAGCAGCAGAAATACAAATAGTTGCATGCAAATATTACAGCAATAGCGGTACCACAATCACAACAACAGCAATAACAACAATAGTTGCTGTAAATTCAGCTATCAAGTATAATAACAACAACAAATCAGTATTAAATGCAAATATCACAAGAACAAATAAACAAAAGCGGCAATGGCGCGCCTGCATATGTATGTGTGTGTGTATGTTTACTTTTATGCTGTGTCTGTGTGTATATATGTAGTGTCTGAAACATTGCTTCCTCTGCATTTACTTTCCATTCACTCACTGCTGCGCCGTGACGTTGCCATGTTGCAAGTGCAACTGCCGCAGGGCGTGAAACGAGCTCACGTACATTACACCTACGAATACATTTACACATTTGTGTATTTGTATATGCACGAGTATATATATATTTCTAATATTCTATGTGATACTAACCAGTAAAGAAAAGTAATCAAGTTCTGTAGAAATACCAACACCATTATTAACAATCAATATCAATGTAAAGTACTATCTTTTTTATGTTGGCGAATTTCTGAACGTTTTGCCAAATATTTCTAACAAAAAGCAATGTCCATATTGCATCATTCCATTTATTTCATAAATTTGGCTAAAACAATAATTATATACAGGTAGCAACTCTTCTTAAATTTGTATTGCCTCCTAAACCCGTTAAATTTTATGTGTTTAATGTAGTTCCAATATTTAAAATTATTTGTTTAATATAATTAAAAACCAAAGTGTGGCAACCTTTTTCAGAATTATCTGCGACAAAAATTTGTTCAGCCTAGTTGTCAGTATGTGTTGCAATATTTTATTTGTTTCATCAGCTTGGTTGCATAAATAATTATAAACAGGTGGTAACCCTTATTGAATCTGTGTTACTTTTGAAACTCATTAAAATTTATAAATTTAGTGTGGTAGTTCCACTTTTTACATTTTTTATTTATTACCATTTAATATAGAAACAGGTGGCAACCCTCCTACAAATTTGAAAAATATTATTTTACTTAAACCTCTTTAGTTTGTTACACATATTAAAATAAGACGATAATTTTACGAATTTTATAGATTTAGAGTTTCGAAACAGATGGCAACCTTCAAGTGAAATAAAAATATCTAAATTTTTCAATAAATCATACGAGTATTACATATAGCAGTCGGTTCTGCAGTTCGTAGCAAGCGTCGTTTTTTTAACGCGTCGAAAGCAGTTATACGATAATCCTTAACTTGCTTTTCTCCTCGAAAGTAACTCGGCTTCTTCTGTCTCTTCGAAACCAAATTGAGTCACTAAAAGAAATAAAAGATATATAATTAGTAAGCGGAATAAAAATATCATGTTTTTAAAGAAATAGGCCATGCTTTATTTAATTATTTATTAAATAGAAATCTGTAAAAGTTTTAAGCATTACAATATGGATATCAAGTGAACAAAGATTGAGAAAGGTCAATTGAAAAAAAATTTTATATAAGATTACAGAGCTGACAACCGTTTAAGAATTTTTCTTCAAATATATTCATAAAATAATAAAATATAATATACAATATATATAAAATAATATATAATAAAACCGACAGCGACAAAAGACAATTTTCGTATCGAGAAAATTTTGAGTAGTGTTGCCTCACATATGAAAATTTTAAAAAGCAATTTGAGAAAAATATTTTTGAGGAGCGTTGTTACTTCTTTAGAAACAATAATAAGTTCAACAGTTTCTACTGGAGCTTATTAAAAATTAAAAAATGACTCAAAACCAATAGAGTCAAGTGGGACCTAGACTTAATTGTAAGGCTCATAGTGTAAAGCTCAAGTTCCGCTTATAGCAGCGAATATGAAAGTTCTGTTTACTGTGCCTCACACTGTGCATAGATATATATGTATATATGTATATAAATCATACATATATGTATGTGAACCATAAAATTCTTACACCTACATATATGTATACATATTTATATCCAATCATATAAATCTCTTTGTATACATTTGCATTTGTCTTCATCTTGTTTGTTGTTTGTGTGTGGCAAAACTTTCTAACAATTTGGTTTTTGTTTTTGTGGTTGTTGTGTGCACCTTCTTGCAATCTAATTAATATTCCGCATGCATTGTAACATTTCTACTTCTTGCTATTATTGTTGTTGTTGTTCTAATTGTCTTGCAGTCATTGTGGCTAATGTTGTTTTTGTTATCGTTGCTCTGTTGTTTTTGCGTTTGCATACATATATTTTCCGTCATCATTTTCTTTAAATCTTCTGGGTAATCTTTGCAATTTCTTGCAATCACTTGCACACTTCATTTGTTTCGTTGCACGCACAGCTTAACAGTGTTACGCAGAGTTAATCCATACGAGTATGTTGGTACTTGAAACGCAGACAGACGAACATGACTAAATCAACTCAGCCCATTATGCTGATCATTTATGTATATAATTTATAGGGTCTTCGACGTTTCTTTTTGGGTGTTACAAACTTCGTGGCACACTTAATTTACTCTGTTCAGGGTATAAATAGACTACAAATCCAATCACAAATGTCGATCGTACGATCAGCGAGCTCAATGTTAGTATCGCTGTTCTATTATCAGTGTGCACTTTCACTTTGAAGAAGATTGCGCTCCGGAGAGGGAGATCCTCCTTCGAAGGTATGTGAGTAGAGAAAAGATTGTCAGGGCTAGGCTCGGCGATTTGGTAATCCAAGTAAATTGAAAGTGTGCGAAGATATCAGAGTACCCAAGCTCGCAGAATCACTTCTCGGAATCTCAGTGGCAATACACCTTCCGATTATGTATGCTAATGAAAGCTCATTGAACAGTTACGAGCACAGTAAAAAAATTCCTCAGAATTTCATATGGTTTCATAGTGCCAATAAACAAATTTTGGTGAGAGACTCATTCGAAAATAAAAAAACACAAAGCCTCTCTTACAGGTAAAATTATGCAGTGTATAATGAAGGAAATTATTATTTACTCGCAGTGAGTAAAAACGACAAAACTTTCACGTAAAACTAAACTGTGTAAAATTTGTAAAACAATCAAAGCAATCATGCAACGGTGCAACGCCTACTTATGGTCCGGGAGGCGTTGAAAAAAAATACAAGCTGAACGATTAGTGTTGCATAATGAATAGCCAAGAAAGTGGTGCAATAAATATCAGACAAAGTGAGCCCGGGAGAGCGGAGGGAGTACTAGAACAAACTTCAGAGAATTTTATGCTTTGCCACGAGCGTTTCTGCGTGCTTTCAATAAGTGTTGTAAGTAAAAAAAATAACAAAAAATTACAAAAAATTAAAAAGTAGGGAAGAGCTAAAATCGGGTGTAACCAAATATTTTATACTCTTGCACCGTGCAAGAATACCTCAAAGGCACTATTTGTGCAATATCAAAAAAATTATTACGAAAGCGTGAGCAGTTACGATTACATTGTAGATTTGATCATCTCCAATTAGGGCTCCTGGGTGACCCAGTTCTGCTCGAACTAAAATTCTAAGAGATGTGCCTACTATTCCTTGTGCAAAGTTTTATACGAATATATTTATTGGTGCCTGATTTGTGTACTGGAATGTAAAAAAATAATAAAGAATTTAAAACTGTGCTATATTGGAAGTAAGCGTGGTTGTAGTCGGATTCCATCCATTTCCACCATGTGACATAGAATCGTCCGTTGAAATTGCTAGAGTAGGTCTGGAGATATGTGATTTCATCTAAATGTGTGCGGTGCCAAGCTCATCAACCAATTTCAACCCCGGCTTCTATAAAGCCCTCTTGTATAATCCTGGGTGTAAATTTTAATGTTTTTGATGCTTTTGGTAACTGATTTAAGTAGTTTTTAAAAAAAACCGTTATATGGGAAAAGGTCGGGTTATAATCCGATTTCATCCATTTTCAATGTCGGCAAGGGTTCATATAGGATTTTTTCTAAGCGAATTTGGTTATTGTAGCATCGGTGATTTAGGAGTTATGTATATTAAACCTATTAGATATCTTAATTTTTACTCAAGTTATCGCTTGCACAGACGGATGGACGGACAGACGGACATACAGACAGACAGATATTCATTCGGATTTCAACTCGTCTCTTTATGCTGATCATTTATATATACATAACCCTACTTGTATATCTAACTCGATTATTTTGAGGTGATAAAAACAACCGTTAGGTGAAGAAAACTATTTCACAATTTTGTGTTTTCGGCATATAACATTCGGATGGTTTGAAATACGAAATTCTAGAATGTTGCCACCTCTTAGAAAAATGTAAATAAAACATATTAATTCGTTATGGGTTTCAAGTTACAAATATTAAGAAAGCATAGATTTAAGAATAGTTTAATTAATATATTTTAGGGCTGCCACCTGATAAAAGTTTTTCCTTAATCTAAATTGATAAAATAAATGACTTATATGCAAATTGGGTTTTACAGTGAAGAAGTTTAATGCAGCTTACCGCTGAAAATATATTTTGAGATGGGTTGCCACCCGTTGAAAACCACAAAAAAGTGAATTACCTCAATATGCTCATTGAAGATATTCAAAAATGTACTGTCTCGGATATATTTTTTGAAGAGTTACTAACACAAGAAAATTAATTATAACGGTATTTGAAAGGTATTAGCCTTTAATACATATATAATATAAAGTTATGTATACCAAAGTTAAGCGCGTTGTGCTCTGGTAAAAAACTTAACAAACTAAAAAAAAATAAAATAACGGTAATAATTCAGAAGCAAACGTACTTTTTATGCGAGTTTTATTTATATCTACAATTTCTTGCTCACACCCATTCTTTGGCTGCTGCCACATAGCCTTTACATTTCGCTGCACGTTTTTTTCATCCATCTTTGTTGTTGTTGTTGTTGCTTCTGTTGCTAAATTTCTCATAGCTATGCCAGCTAGCATATTGCCGGCGACAGCTAACACTTTTCTGGGGCATTGCTGCATAAATGCTAAATATGCAACAATTGTCCTTGCCGGCGGCGGTGAGTGTAGTAACAACAACAAACACAGAGAATAGCGCAGAGTATAGCATAGAAAAGGCAAAAAAGTAGGTGTTGCGCAAAGTCGGCACAAATTTGCTATGATTACAGTGGTCGCCGTTGGCGGTGGCATGCAACATGCTTGCCACATACCCTCTTGTTGCTGCTCACGCGCTGCCATCAAATGCTCGACGCTTTGCCACACTTGCTTGTTGCAATTTGTGTTTGATCTGATTGTAGTCGTTGTGTTGTTGTTGTTGTTTCGATTGTTGTTTCTTGCGGTTTCTATTCCGGCTCGCTCGTGTACATGTGTTTGTTTGTTGACTTGTTTGTTTGTTTGTGTTGCAGTAGTAGTTTCAATTGCGCGCAAACCCTTTCATCCGCTACACTCACCTGTATACTTGCGGCACTTGCCACACCCTCTCTGCAACGTGGCGTCATGGCATGCTTGCGAAGCTTTGTGTTCCTGCCCCAACCACTCGTCGCCGTCCTGCTCCTCGTGCGCTGCTATGAGTGGTGTTGCGTTCAAGTGTTGCTATTGCTTGCTGACACTTTGTCATTGCTGTTTTTGTAGTTGTTGTCCGCAAATGCTCATTCTCTGGCGCGTTGCACGTTGCTGCCATAACAAATTGCCAGCAATTGCGCTTTGAAAGTAACGTTCGTTCGGGGAAATTTCCAACGTTTCACATTTGCTGCGAGCATATTTCGTTGTTACTGTTACTGTTGTTGTTGTTGTTGCTCTTATAAGCTGCTTTTTTGTTTTGTTGCATACAGTTTAGTTGTTGTTGCTCATACGACGACTACTCATGTTCAGCTATTTGGCATTGTTAGTTGTAGTTGCTGCGTCTGTGATTGCCTGAGGTTGCATGCCGCATGCCGTTTGCCGCTTGCCGCATGTTGCACATTGCTTGTTGCCGCTTTCACTTTTAGTTTGTGTAGTTCCTTTATGCTACACGCCTGCTGCCACGTTGCTCCACTGTTATTTTACCACACTCTGTGTTGTTGTTTTTTATTGTTGTTGCTGTTGCAGCAACGCTTGTAAAGTCGCAATTGTTTAAACAAATTCATTTCACGTTCGCCGCTCGGATCTTTGTTGCCTACTTAGACTCAAACGTTGCTGCATTTGTTGTTGTAGTTGTTGTTATGCTTTTAGTTTTCATATTTGTTTCTGTTCTTGTTGTCCTTAACAGCATCTCATGTTCGTTTATTGTTTAGCTATTGTTTGTTGTTCGCAAAGTGTTTCATAACTTTGTTGGGGAAGAGCGAGCATTTTGGCATTTTGCGGTGGATAATTGATTTGGACGTTGACAATGTGAGGG